GCTTCCTCTTGACATGGGAACATGATGAATAAATGCCATAGAAGCCACTTCTATTGGGTGTTGGGAGTCATGGTGTTCAATGGAGGTGGCGTCTGGAAGTGACAGTCCAGTTATAGGCTGAGAGGGAGAATGAACCCACTTCATGGGAAAAGCAGAAGGAAGACGTATGATACATAGGGTCTTGACTGATCAGTGAGGCCATAGCCAAAATACCTTGGACAGGTACAAAAGAAGGAACCATCAGCGTTTTTCCTTCTTGCTGTATTGGTGTTATTTCTTGGGAACGCCAAAAGCTAGAACTCTTGGAGTTCTGTTAGGAAGGTGTGGTCTGTGTAATATAAACAAGCCCCTCAGTCCATTCCCAGAGCAGATAAGATGTAGGGAGGGCTTGCCAGCCCTCGGTGGGGTGGGGAAGAGTGTGTACAGATCCAACATGAAGAGACATTGGGATTATGTTTAAAGAACAGGTTAAAGGAAATATTGATGAGAGGTATTTAAGAATTTTGGGAAGAAGTATGAAAGAGAGGTGTGTAAGGTTTTGGAACCACAAAATAGGATCAGGTCAGAAGCAACGCACAGTAGAGAAGCATCCTACCCCAGAGAGATAAGAGTGCTAGGAGAAATTCTCATCAGAGTTAAGATTATGACTGCAGATAGTAGCAGAGGGTAACAGTGCATTATGTGTAGCAGAAGATAAATGTGAACAAAAGGTTAAAAGGCATATTTGCATAGGAGTGAAGTCACAGAGATTGCCCTAGAGCCAACAATCTGAGATGAGGTCAGGAAGGTAGTCTGATGAAGTCGAATACCACTGTCTCTCCCATGAAACTACTTGGAAGAATCTGTGGAATTCAGGAATTGTCAGGGACACTAGAAAGCAGTTCTTTCAGTAATGTGGAGAGCCATGTGAACTTGAGAGTTGTGGGTCCTGTGAGAGGAGGTTTGTATAAGGGAGATGTGCTTAATTTTAATGAAGTGAAATGTAGCCAAGGAGAATGATCCTTGAGGCTAATACCAGTAGTGGTAGTCAATATCATCTGATAGGGCCGATTCTGTTTGGGCTTTAAGGCAACCTTATGTTGTTTGAGATAGACAAAATCACTGGGTTGAAAGGTAGGCATATAACTTGAAGTTAGAAGATATGGTTTGCGTAGGTGCATATCTACACAGGCCTGTAAATAACAGCACATTTCACTGAAAAGAGGGAAGGTAAGAGGAGAAGGAATGGCTTCAGAGTTATGAAGGGGAGGGAAGTCTGGTGCAAGAAGAGGTCTTCCATAGAGAATTTCAAATGGGCTGAGCATTAACGGTTTTGGGGAAGACAGCTAATTCTTAACAGGGTCAGAGGAAGGAGTTTTACCCAGATTAGATGCATCTGAGTGGAGAGTATTATCAGGTATTGTTTTAAAATCCCATTCACCCATTCTACTTTTCCTGATAGGGAATAAGGAAATGCCATGAGATATGGAGAGAAGTTGATGCTGAATTATTTGGGAAGTAAGTTCTGGTCCATTCTCTGGTTGAATGGAAGCAGGGAGTTCAAATCTGAGGATGATATCCTTTAATGGTATAGTAGAAATAGTGGAGACTCTTTAATTAGTGGTGAGAAAAGCCTCAACCCAACCCAAGATGTCTACCGTAATCAGAAGGTAATGTATCTGCTTACCTGGTGCCATGTGAGGGAAGTCAATCTGCTAGTCCTCTCCCGGGAGCAATCTGCAGGCCTGGTGAGTAGGGAACAGAGGTGATCTAAT